GCAATTCCAAAATTGCATAAAAACCTTGTTAAGTTCAGATTTATTACTAACTCTTTAATTACAGTTATTAAATGTGTATCCATAGTACCTAATATTCTATATGTCTTATTTGAAAAAAAAAATAGAAACACTGCCTTCAAATAACCAGAATAATTATTTTTGGATTATAAGAATAACATTCCAGTTTTGTAATGTTTAAATAATTTAAATTTTTTGAAAACCACCAGTTCTATTTTTGCATATGACTTTATGCCACAAACTTGCATAACTAACTGCAGAAAAGAAGCAGAAGGTGGCCCACTACCACCAGACAACATAGAAGGAATGGACGAGGTCTGGTTAACCCCCGTGCCAGAAACCATTACACAGGAATTCATACCCACATTTTTTTAAACGCAAAAGAAAACCAACGAAATATCAGCAACAAGAAAGAAAAAAAATGTTAACCACAAAATATAACTTCTAGCACAAGCGCTTTGTCAAGAAAAAGTGATTATATTGTCGACATACAGTGCCTGCATAGAGTGCATGTGAGGGCCGGTGTAAAATTTTGTAAATTAGATATTGCCAAGGGCAGTCGAGGGGGGTATAGAGACTGGAGCAAGTGAACACGTGTTTAGATGGCAAAGATGAAGATTGAGAAATAGCTATAAGTGTCAGTGTGTGTGTGTTGGAATAACATTTTCTTCCTATCACTTAACTTTTTTATCTAACTTTGACTGACTTACTTGAACTAATTTTTTGATGCGTATATAAATACACACATGACAGTAGTCTTGAAAATTCCACACTCTACTAGATATATCATGTAACAATACTTACTTAAAGCAACTAGCAAAATTCAGAAGGTTCGAGTAACATGACATCAATTCACAACAAATGAAACGCACAATGAATGATTTGTGAATAGTTACATAAACAAACTTGAAATAAATTATCATTTCTAAAAATAACAAAATCTAACACTCGTGCTATGTAAACAATCTAAATCATGACATTCACAGTAAACTTTAAAATGAAATGAAACAGTCATGTATATCCAACAGGGATATTACTGAAAGACTTTACAAAATATCTAGAACAAGGATCTAATATATAAAAAAGCCAGTCATCTTTTTATAACACTCCATTTGTCTGTGATACTTAGCAAAAAATTATGACCTGATAGATTTGCTCTTTCCGATATAACTTACATGCTCCTATAGTCAGATGCACGTGTCTCTCTACACGCATGCCCCCAAGGGGGCACGTCCTATTGTTTGTGCACCACATCTCAAGCACACTTTCCTTGGGTTTCTATTTGAATAGATATTAGTGCATTATCCTATCCTAGTTAGATTATAAACAAGGGTGAGCCAGTTAGTTGGTCAAGTAAACAGTGAAGCATCAAGAAGATAGAGAATTGTCTTCTAGATGGTGGAGTGAGTCAGTCAGTGTACTTACGTTTTTGAATCTGTTAGTTACTGTATATACTCAGTTACTTTGAATAAGTAGATTGATTTTTAAATTAGTATAGAGCAGATAGTGTGATTGTACACATAGGCTACAGCAGGTGTAAAGCCAGAAAAAAACATTAAAGAGGAAATAAAACTAACTTTTCATTGTTAGGTGGACTGCATGTTGAAATATTTTCACCAGATAATTTAAAAGAACCCCTCAACAAAAACATTATAACAAAACACACACACATGTATATGTATTACTTATGAAGAGTTAAAAAAACACACAGAAGAACATACCTGATATATGAATCAATAAACAGAGAAAGGTTTAAGGGTTTGACAGACTTTGAGAAGTATTCTCTGTAAACTTGAATCAAGTCATGATTACGCTCCTCTGTTACCTATAATATAATGCATTGCTAGAAGAACAGATCATGGTAAAACTAATTTAAAACTTTAGTTGAATACAAGTGACTGATACACCCTGAGTTTGTTCAAAGATGAAAATACAAACTTGGATAAAACATAACTTAATTATAAAATTATTTGAAACACCAAAGAAATAATACCTTATATGACAGCTTAGGCAATCATTATGTCTAACCCAAAATTTAAAGGTGTTAATAAATTTATAATATATTTTTTTAAGTCATTAAAAGTCACGAATCTGACATAAAAGTGAAACTGTGATCCATTTTTTTTATCTCCCCTTGTTTGCCAAAATCCTCTGCCAATAAATGCACACTTAAAAGCACTAATTACATTTCCCTAACCTCATTTTTAACATAAACAGGTCTGATCCACTGACTCCTTACTTTATAATCACTGTTTGTACATTGAAGAAATACATAGATATGGTAAATGAACAGTTCAATTCTTAACCCTTTGGATGGTATAATTGGATTTATCCAATTTGACATTTATAGGCATTTGGTGCGACAAACAGATTTACCCCACAGTGTCACAAAAACTTTTGTGACAATTGGGATACTCGCGCATCCTTGAAGTCCCACCTGAGTACTGTGCATACATCACCAAGCAAAAGCACAACTAGTGGATTTTGATATAGAAAAAGTACTAAAAAAGATCAGATTCTAAATCTCATTTATAACGGATAATTGACACTTTTTAAGAACCCACCTGAAATTTAATTATGCACTCAAAGGGTTAAGGACTAATGCACTTTATACTCTATATATCAAAACGAATATATACACACAAAAAAACAATAACTTTTAGGTTTTATCTAGTTACCACAGCAAAATGGAATAAAACATATATTCAAAAGTTTGTCTAGTATTAACAGATTTGCTCATTTATACCTAAAAGATGCTAAAAACTATTTATTAATTAACATTCAAAAATGTTTCCACTGGTAAAACATATGAATAAGAAAAAACTTATACATAATGTACTCAAACTATGTCATTTCCTGGCCTTTAACCTCTCAGTGACTCAACAGTAAGTTTGTAAGCTTGTATAGCTAAAAATTTGGTTTTGATACTTATGGTTGGCAGAGCACATGTAGCTTTACACTGATCTCTGATATTATAATATCAAATTCTGGACATTACCTTCCTTTTTAATGAATTAATAATAACACATAATTTATATCTTTATGCAGAAAGTTGTATTTCTTGATATTACTCCACAAAAAGAAATACCAAATACTTTCAAAATGCAAGTTTTTATTTAGTAGGCTAATATTTTATATAATTGACACTTGAAATCGTTGGTACTTGGTGAAACTCCATAATTACAGAATTGAGGAAAAATTGTATGTTTCAAAAATTCATCATTTATTCATGACCATGATTTTGCCAGTAAATGCACCATCTAGATGGTACAGACTGAAGTTTTGTAACAGGGTTTATATATATATGTTTAAACAAAGAACATGAAGTGACTTTGACATTCACCTAGAGACAAGTGAGGAGGAGCTGAAGCTGGTTTGGTTATTTAGAACTTTTTCTAGATTTGTTTTTTGGCCTAAACTTTTTCAAAATTTCCAGACTAATTAGTTTTTTTACCCTTTTCACAGATATGTATAATTTTGCAGTTTTTCTTTTATCAAATAGGTGTTTAGTTTCAATAAGGTAGGATGCAAAGGTTGAACATTTTCCTTAATTTCCAGCTTCTAGAATGTTCTTAATTCTCCTTTCTATGAAATGCTCTGTTTGACCTATGTATACACTATTAGGCTTGACACGTTAATTGATAATCACCACTGTTGCTGTACTTTTCGATTATGTCTTTGTTGTACAAAATTTTTCCTAGGTTGTTTTTACAGTAAAAGGCTGGTCTGTAGATTTCTTTGTTCACTGCATTATATATTTTATGAGAAGGTTTTCCAATGTAGCTCATCTTAAACCATTTCTTTTTGTTGTTGTTTGGTACAGTATGTGGTTATGTTGATTTTAAATTTCTGGCTTTCAATTTTTTAAACAACAATGTATTAATTAACTTTGTTGTATAACCATTGTTAACCACAATTTGTTTTATCATTTTTAACTCAGTTTCATAATTTTCAGATGACAAGTGATAAGTCTGTGTAACAAACTATGGAACACAGCAATTTTGTGAGATATTGGATGTCTTGATGAAGCATGTATGATAGTGTCACTATAAATCAGTTTTCTGAAGATTTTGAAAGAATGTATGCTATTATTTGTCAATATTTAAGTCCAAGAGATTGATTTTCTATTTCTTTTCACCAAATTTCATAGTAAGTTTAATAAATTTGTTTTGTGAATTTAGAAAAGTTACAAAATCGTCGAGTCAATGTTTGGATCCTGTCCAGAGACAAATAGCATCATTAACAAATGTATACCAATATTTAACAGGATTGTATTATTTTCATCACTAAACAATTTCTTCTCTAAATTATCCATGAAAACTTCTGCAAGCAAAGAAGACAGGGAAGAACCAATATCTATCCCGTCATTCCGTTTATACATTTGGTCATTAAATTTGAAGTAGTTCTGATCTAGGCAAGTGATTACTATTGTTTTTAATTCCTGGGCTTGAACAGGGTTTACTTTTTTATATCCATTAAATCATTAACAATTTATTTACATTTACTAATAGGTATACTGGTGAACAGACTAAAAACATCAAAAGAAACAATTCTGGCATTATTCAGTATTTGTACATTTTCAATTTTTCTACAAGTTCCAGAGTTTTTTTTATACCAAACTCAGGTTTAAAAGCAGTTATATTTTTTTTTAATATTTTGAGCTTTCTATATTAGTTTGTAAGTGGGGGCATTAGTATAGAAAACAACAGGTCGGATAGGGATATTTGTTTTGTGTAGTTTAGGAAGTCCATACAGACGTGATGGGTGAGAATTTATAATACATAATGACTTAGCTTTGGAGTTCGTTTTTGCTGTTGTTCAACAAAGATTTAACATTGTTGTTGAAGGTTTTGGTGAGGTGGGTCTATGTTTAGGAGCGTGAAACTGTTAGAATTAAGAAAGTCATTGATTTTGCCATGATAATCTTGTTTTTCAAGTACAACTATAAGTGTCATTTATCACTCACCTTTTCACTCAATGAAAAATGTTTTTTGAGATTCATGTATCATAATGTAGTGAATAAAACAACTAGTAAATTTAAAAAAATCTTCATTTATTAAACGTTTTTCAAAATCTGTAGATGTGTTATCTTAGTAAAAGTTACACAGTATTTAGTAATTCCTCAAACACCCTTAAAATGCATCCTTGATTAGCAACATTTGAAAAATATGGGCCTAACTAAACTTATTTTTCTTTTATAAGTGAATAAAAATATTAGAAGATAATCAATGATGTTGGATGAGGGTGCACAAGATAGGTTACTCCACCACCAAAGGCAGCACATTTGTAAAAGTTAGAGAGAAGTTGCACATTTGCCATGTTTAATATAAGCTAAAAAAATTATTATACCTCATTTTTAGTATAGCACCTAAACCTGAAAAATTGTCCTATAAAACTTTGACATGAAATTAACCAGAGTTTATCCAGTCATTTTGAGTATTTGAAAAAGTAGCCAAAATCAGGTGTGAAATTAGAGTAAAATGATTAATGACATTGGCTCACACAAAAACTTTGTCAAGGAAGACCTTGGACTAAATACTTAAATGATGAGTAAGGCCAACTCATGATTTAAATCTTGTCAATTCGGCCATTATTCGTGCTATTCATATTAATTCACAAGTATTGATCTGATTTTGAGGAACTTTTACATGGTCTAAAACTTACTTTGAACACGTGCATAATTTATGTTAATTTGTTGTCTACTAGTACAATATCAACATATCAGCATTGATTTGCAAAAATACCTCTTATCACGTGTGCTAAATAAGTAAAGTTGTGCACGTGATTTTAAAATTTTTTATGCGAGTGATAATGACAATTTTACATGAGCAATTAATGAAGCACCAAAAAGAACATGCATTATCATGCACAAGCACAGTCGCACACCTTAAATCTGAAGGAATGGCTTTGGCATAATATATGCTAAGGGCTACAGATTAAAATTAACAGCATCACAGAGTCCTTCCACTTATGTAAGAACTTTTAGCAAACCAAGGATACATCTTCAGAACATGGTTATCACTAGTAGAAAACATAAATGTAATTTCAAGTACTATACCAAAAAAGCATAGTACATATAACTCCTGATCACAAGTCTTCAGGTTTGTCTCTTGTAATTTCACCAGATTATACCATACAGAATCCATATCAGGATTACACCTGCACACAACTTTTGTTTCAGCCTTGTTGCCATTCTCACTTAATTGCTCTAACAGTTCTAGCAATTCATCCAGTTTTTCATGTACAACTTTTACTGACTTTTCTCTTGTTTCTGATTCATGCTTGACAGAGATCTTAAGCTCCTGCTTCAGTTTGTCCCATTGAGTTGTTGAATGAGCAAAGAAACTATAAATGGCTTCAATTATACCAAAAAAGGTAATAACTGTTGTTTCCTGACTTGCAGCATGAAGACATGCTAAGTTCAAACTATGGTTGTCACAGTTTATAAACACTGCTTTTGGATTTTTAATCAGAATTCTTTGTTGAATGCCTGACAGATGACCTGACATGACTGCAGCATTATTATAACATTGTGAACAACAATCACTCAATAAAACTCCATCCACTACTAATTTTGTGCTTATTGTTTTCTCAGTATTGACAGTGTCTTTTTCCTTTATCTGTATAAAGTCAATAAATAACTCTTTGACCTCTACTTTTCTTGTCTTAAAGTCAATGTCAACAAACCGAATCACTTGGACCAATTGCTCACAATGGGTTAAATCTGGTGTGGAATCAAACAGAATACATAGTATTTGTTTCTACAAATTGCTGACAAACAATAATTTTGCACACTTTGGATTTCAGGAGAAAGATAAGATGTTGACGTTTGTTTGTTTTTAACACGCTCTAAATCCTCTCTCATTACTGAATCATACTTTGCGAATAACTGCAAAAATGATAGGAAATTTCCAGGGTTTTCGTTTGAGGTTATGTCCTCAGTATGACCATGAAATGCAAGATTCTGAGAAGCTAAATATTGTGTACAATCCAACAACTGACACAGTACATCTCTCCATTTATTTTTTCTTGCTGAATGTGCCTTTACAGCTCTTCATCAATGCTAATTTGAAGAAAAATCGGCACTCAGTTTCTTTCCAAGCAGCAAATGACTCACGATGACTGTCACTATTTTCATGGGCATTTAACTTTTCAATTTTTTTTCCACTTAGAGAATCCACCCTGTGTTTTGAAAGCAGACCGACTATTGGATGTCATACATATGTAGAAGAAAAAAGAAGACCACAAAAACAGTATGCTGCTTTATGTAGAGGTGAATACACCAACCAGGAACGATTGACCTCTTGTCCATTCAGAAGACGTTGTTTGAAATAAAATGCAGTCATAGAATGCCCACCTTTGGCATCAAATGGACCTTCTTTATGTTG